AAAATAAGTAAGACATTGGATTCTTTGTGAATTGTATTTTCTTGCAGGTGAAAGTCCTGCATCTTCCATGAAAACTTTTTGAAATTCAAGCAGAAATTGAACTGATCTAGTTTGAAGCTCTGAAACATCAATTTTGATTACAGAAACAAAGAGAAGTTTACATATTATTATCTGATTTTTATTTGATATATTACAAACTAAGGATTTTCTTATCCCAGGAATAGATTATGATCTGAGCCGTATTTGGCAAAACTTTTTGAAATTTTGGGTCCTCAATGCTCTTCAACTTGTACTTGTTTGGCTTTAAAAATATTTTGATCTGAGCGTCACTGATGAGTCTTATTATATGTAGACGAAACACGCGTCTGGCGTATTAAATTATAATCCTGGTACCTTTGATAACTATTTACAAATGATTCTCAATTTCTGAATTAATAGAGATAAAAGTTCATGAATAATTCATGATTCACAATATATGATCAGACCATTGAAAATATAATGCTGATTTTCCCTATTACTAAAGAAAATTTCAAACGGTAGAAGGACAGGAAAGAGCCTGAAAGACAGTTTAGACTTCATTATTTTTTAGTTTGAAAAATTGAACAAGACACATTGTTTTAAACCCCATGAACTTGAAATTCATGAAAAAATACAAGACTCAATTGACCTTGATTCATGGATGATGTTAAGCTCATTTTTTGTGATTAAATCAGTATTTGATACTGTGAGCAATAATTTGTCAACTATATTTGGTGTATGGAATGTTTGTAAGGTGTATATGTCCAACTGAAAGGTGTGATTTGACTTTCACCTCATTTTCACTGTTCTTTTGGTCAATGCAGAGTTTGATTGTTGATTCAGGGACACACACACTAAATTTAGTTTTTAAAAGTACTATAGGTTGATGAATTTGTCCTAGCAATATTGTTAATGTTACAAGTGAAAGACGTGAGATTACATGTAGATTTACTGTAGTGCTCCTTTCGTGTGGTAACCTAACGGTGTACAATACTTAGCCCAAGTATCAACAGCAGCACGGAAGCTTTCACTTGGGACAGTTATAAGTTTATAATACAAATGAAAAAAAAATTAGATCTGGCATTATTGATGCTGAGCAAACAATTCAAAGATACAAACCATTACTGGTCAGTTGAAGATTAAGCTTAAATGAGCAAAATCTATACTGTTTTATGTAAATCCGACTTTAAAATTTTTGCACTTTCTCATAAATTTCTTATGTCACAATGCTGGGTCAATGATGTCACAACATAACACAAACTAATCATCAGTTTTTAAAGGATTGCAATTATAAGACACAAAAAAAATAGCAATAATAAAAAGACAAATACCAATCTATTTATTCTATTTCACATATGGCACCATGGAATTTCAATTATTGTATTTCTTAAATAATGTTTATTGGTTTTTGATAAAATAGTGTCTTTCAGACAGAATATTAAAAAGCTCATATTATCTAAAAACCTATGGAAACTTTCCAGAATTATAAACTGACAATCATCTGAACCTTTCCTGAAAAATGTAAGCTAAAGCTGAAAATGGTCTGAACCCATCCTGAACAATAGCTGAAGACTGAAACAATAGCTGAAGACTGAATAATGACTGAGTATAGATTCTTTAAAATTTTTACTGAACATTCGCTTAAATATTCTTCTGTTTGTTGAACATTGCAGAAAGAAATGCTGAAATTTTTTTGAATAATTACCTAAAGTATCTTAGTTTAATTTTTACTGAAAATTTGTGGAAAACCTACTGCAGCGTGTTAAATTCAGCCATTTTTGAGAAAATGTTGTTTTAAGGGTTCTGAATATTTCAGCAAGGTGTTCAGAAAAAATCAAAATCAATGCTGAATATTTACTGAAAACATCTTGCTGAAATGTTACTGAAATTTTGCTGAAAACTTGCTGGAATGTGCCAAATTCAGCCATTTTAAGCAAAAGGTTTTATAATAGGTTCTGAATATTTCAGCAAGATGTTCAGAAAAATTCAGAAGTAATGCTGAATTATTGCTGAATATGAAAATGTCTTGCTGAATTGTTGCTGAAAACTTGCTGGAATGTGCCAAATTCAGCCATTTTTAAGCAAAAGGTTTTATAATAGGTTCTGAAAATATCAGCAAGGTGTTCAGAGCAATTCAGCATTAATGCTGAATACTTACTGAAAAGGTACTGCTGAATTTTTACTGAAAATTTGCTGAAAATTTGCTGGACCGTGCCAAATTCAGGCATTTTTAAGAAAAGGGTTTACTTAAATATATGTAATGCGTCAGCAAAATTCCAACATCATGTTCAGAAAAAATTCAGAAAAATATTTTCATGAGAGAAGGGACCTATAAGTGGAGAAGGTTGGATAATCATCATCATAGTATAAGGTAATTAAGTAAAAAATAGTTGCACAGCAATACTATTGTTGGAAGTTGTAGTACAAAACACTGACTGAACAAGGATGCACTTTTGCTGAATGGTTTTTAATATGGCTGAATTAATAGTTCTTATTATGGCTGAATATGTCTTAATAAGGCTGAAGATTGGATTAATTTGTCTGAATAGTTCTTAATATGGTTGAATATTTCTGAATGTATCTGAATATTTCTCAATATGTCTGAATATTTCTATATATGTCTGAATATTTCTTAATATGTCTGAATATTTCTTAGTATGGCTGAAGATTGGAAGAATATTGGCTGAAGATTTCTGAATATTGCTGAATATGTCTTAAACAATGGCTGAATATTTCTTAAATACAGCATTTAAACCATAAATTTTCTGAATATTTCTGTTTCTGAATACTGGCTGAATAGTCCGAAATTCAGTAAATATTCAGAAATAGACACAAATACAACATTCAGACATATTCAGACGATTATTCAGATATAATTCAGAAATAATTAAGACAGTATTCAGCCACCAATTTTCCATGAGGGAAGGTACGCACATACCAAATATAGTTATCCTATTACTCATAATAAGAGAGAAATTAAGATTACAAAAAATCTTAACTTTTTTTTCAAGTAGTCACTGAACCATGAAAATGAGGTCAAGGACAATGGGCATATGACAGACAGAAACTTCATATCATGAGGCATCTATATACAAAGTATGAAGCATCTAGGTCTTCTACCTTCTGAAATATCAAGCTTTTAAGAAGTTGGTTAACGCCGCCACCACCTCCGCATGAGGACCTTGCAAGGTACGCACATACCAAATATAGTTATCCTATTACTCATAATAAGAGCGAAATTAATATTACAAAAAATCTTCACTTTTTTTCTCAAGTAGTCACTGAACCATGAAAATGAGGTCAAGGACAATGGACATATGACAAACAGAAACTTCATAACATAAGGCATCTATATACAAAGTATGAAGGATCCAGGTCTTCTATCTTCTGAAATATTAAGCTTTTAAGAAGTTAGTTAACGCTAACGCCGCCGATGCCGATCACTATCCCTATGTCGAGCTTTCTGCGACAAATGTCCCAGGCTTGACAAAAATGACAATTTTTTTCACAAATTATTTTGGTTTCTTCTTGAATGACAATGTTTTGTAAACTTGAATAAATTAGCCAGCATATGTTCAGGCCTATTCAGGTCCATTCAGATCTTTTAATTTTCCCATTCAGGTTCAAGTTTTAACAATAAACAAGAATGTGTCCATAGTACACAAATGCCCCACTCGCAATATCATTTTCTATGTTCAGTGGAACGTGAAATTGGGGTCAAAACTCTAATTTGGCATTAAAATTAGAAAGATCATATCATAGGGAACATGTGTACCAAGTTTCAAGTTGATTGAACTTCAACTTCATCAAAAACTACCTTGACCAAAAACTTTAACCTGAAGCGGGACAGATGGACAGACGAACGAACAGATGGACAAACGGACGGAAGGACGAACAGACGAACGGACTAAGGGATGCACAGACCAGAAAACATAATGCCCCTAGGTGGGGCATAAAAATATATTTTTGCAGTATTTTTTTTTCCTTTTGATGAAAAATTAATCTATAGATTTGTTTAACAAAATCCAAAGTTGAAGGAAACTGATTCAAAATTAAATAAATGGAGAATGACACAGATGATGACCCCGCTTGCATATAACATTATAAAGGGGCATAACTTGATAACAGTATAAGTGACGCCATAAGCATTGTGTATAAGTTTCATAACATTTGGTTGAGGCAAACTAAAGTTAGAGAACGGAAACCAATTTTTGGGACCTACGTACGGATGGACGGATAGATGATGGACGGACGTACGTACGGACAAGGGTTACACTTAATGCCTGTGAAAGCAGGGTCATTAAGTATTACCCTTGCTTTAGTTGTTATCATCTACTACTCAAAACCAAGATTGAACATCGATGAAGACTTTTTCAACATACAGATTTTCTCCCGAAAAATCATTTTTGACACAAACTGTATTGTACAAAATGAAGATTATGTATTTAATAACCAGTTGGTATCAATAACCATTAATAAATATCTTTAAGATGACAATGTCAATGGTGGAAGTCTTGGTTGTCAACAAGAACTTGGAAAAAATGGTGATGGCTATTTTTTTTTTTAAATCATCAAGTTTACATTATTAATGCATGGCAAAAACAAATAATTCATCAATGAAATTCACGTCAGATATTCAAGTACATTTGGATATCCTTTTTATATTGGATACAAATTTTATGAAATCTGACACAGATTTTACAAAGGCAAAACGTTTCAACTGAGGTAACACATAGTGGCATCAAAAGGTGTTATGGAGTAAAGAGGTAAGAGCACAACATTCAGCTTGTCAAGCTTTAAATTGTACTGAGTATATAAAAGTTGTGAATAACTAATTGTATGTTTCTTATTCAGCAATAATATAAAATGCTGATACGAATACTTATATAAGAAATTCTATTCCATTATATAAAATCTAAAGGAAAGCAAGCATACAGAATTTTTAATATATATTTGATAATACTGTATTATAATTAAATCACCTTAGTGTTGGTTGAACATCTGGATTTGGCTTCATCTAAGGATGGTGAATAACATGGCTGAAATAGATAAATGTCATTTGATTTATTATATGCAAAATCATATTTCATTAAAAGATGCAACAAATGGACTAGAAATGTCCTTGCTATTGAGTGGTGATTCTATGAGTAAATCTAAAAAACATTAAATTTTGACAAGACAATTATTATAAATAAACAAGATTGCTAAGCCGTAGCCAAATGTCCCCCTCCCTGTATAAAAATAAGGAATTACTTTGCATGTGACAATGTCATGAATGTGTCATTGTGGTACAATAAACAGAATATGGTTAAAACAAGGAATTATTCAAATAACTCAGGAAAAATTTTGAATCTCGGGGAAATTGATAATAATTTTGTAATGAAAACTAACCCAACTAAATAGGATTCAGGTTACTTTCACTGATATTTCAGTATGAACTAACTAACCCCCTTTGCCATGTGTCAGTGGCTAACCCTCCATAATTGGGTTAGTTTTCATCATACATTTCTTATCAATTTTCCAGAATTCATCAAATGAAAATCATGTTACAGTAAGGCCACCAACACATAATGGCAAACAATACTACCAAGTATGAAAGCTTTCTGTAAAATAGTCTTATAGAGGAGTGGATGCACAAGCTGCTGTTACAATACTCTTACCAATGGTCAAAGTTCGATAACTACCTTAATAAATTGCTTCGCCGAGCGCAGCTGGATACGACCGCAGAGGTTCAACCTTGAACAGTTGGCCACAGACCACAATTAATTCCCCTATTAGTTCTTTATAACGTTTTGTCGCATTAAAAAAAATTTACCTGCTTTTTTTGTCAAATCTTTTGTGTGTGTAATGTATAGTACAAGTCCAAAAATATATCCAACATTCAGAAAAATTGCATGTGTACATCTTACAAATTTAGCCAATACACATCCATACCCCTATAGACAAGTCAAGAGATGTTCTGAAAACTGTAAATATTACCTTTTTGCACCTGGCCTAATCACTCTTTCCATATTGAAATCAGTTAAAATAAAACATCCAAAAATTTATTTCAGCTCTCTTCTTTCATTTCCACCCCATAAAAAGTAAGAAATGTATGGGAAAGGGAAAGAAAAAAAAATAAAGAAAAAATACACTTTAATTAAAGGGAACTATATTCGTGGACAACGCTTATTTTTGGCCCCTTTTTGGCCCCTAATTCCTTTACTGTTGGTACCATAACCCCCAAAATCAATCCCAACCTTCCTTTTGTGGTTATAAACCTTGTGTATAAATTTCATAGATTTCTATTTACATTTACTAAAGTTATTGTCCGGAAACCAAATGTCTTCGGACGATGACGATGACGTAATACCAATGTACAACCGCAAAGATTTTTGGGGTCGTATAAAAATGGTCAAATACACACGATTGCAACCAATCGTATCTCATAAGAGAGCTTTCTATCAAATGAATTCTCAGAGGAGTTGCATTAAAAATATTAATATCACATACTAAAAGAATATAGAAAATTCCAATTACTCCCATAAGAATGTGCTGATCAAAATGACAGTATTCAACAACACATGATGGCAAAATATAGTACCAAGTATGAGAGCTTTCTGTCAAAGCCTCTCAGAGATGTTGCATTCACAAGAAGTTTTTGTTACAATACTCCCAAAAATGGTCAAAGTCCTGAATAACTCCTGTAAAAATGGTTGAATCAAAATAAAAGTACAATATGGTCAACAACACATGATGGCAAATAATTCTACCAAGTACCAAATATGAAAGCTTTTAAAACGGACTCAGAGACTCAAACTGATAATACAGTAGATCAAGAGAATATGTTGACACATGATCTTACCAAGTATGAAAGCTTTATGTCAATAGGTCTCTTAATATTGATGTGTTTTAGATGAACAGATGGAGACCATTACCTTATCCCCCATGGAACCAACTAGCTTTTGAACTATCAAAAAGTCACATTTCATAATTTATTTGTATTGATTGTGGTTCAATTTTTTGTCCAATGTTCAGACATATTTAGGACAAGTAATGTATTTCACAGGGCATGTTCCTTTTTGCAGTTATATCAGCTAACGCTCTATAACATTTGTACAAGTGTTATAAATATTTGGGCCTAGCGTAATAATCTCTGAAGAGACATGTCAGTACTGTTTAATTCTATTTTTTTATTATGATTAAGAATAATATAAAGAGATATGCTAAAGTGTCTAAATAGATTTTGTAAGGTAGAGGAAACCAGTTTTAAAAGGATTAAAGTGTCTTGTAATGTTTAATAATAGGCTGATTTTTAATGTTTTTCCATTATTTATCAGCTACAGGTTGAATTGATTTAATAACATAGCAGTAATAAGATTGAAAAATCCAAATTTCTCTCAAGACACACCATAAATGTACCTATTAAATATCATAAGTAAACTAGATTATCATAGTCACCCTGGTTGGGGGTGCAGGAAGAGACAGGTACCAAGAAAAAGTCTTTAAATTTAAAATAAGCAAGTAAAACAGGTAAAATTTATTGTTCTCATTGCAATGTGTGATTAACTTGCTTATTTAAAACTGACATAAAACAAGACCAATTCCGGGATTAGACCTGTGTCTCTTCATGCAATTGATTGAGGTAACATGTATATGTGAGCATAACTGATCATTCCCTTTCACTGATTCCAAGAAAGGTTTGACAAAATTTTCCTTGTACACTGAGTGTTGTAAGTTTCAAACTATCGGCAAATAGGAAGTGGTTACACAGCAGATGTACAAATTGCTTCCTCGCTACAACTCAACATTATCAAGCTGCAGATCAAATATTAAATCATTGCCATCAATAGGAGCAGAGAAAACTTTGAAGAAAATTTTCCTTGTACAATTATATTAGAGTTGTAAAATTTCAAACTATTGGCAAACAGGAAGTGGCAACATGGCAGATGTAAAAAAAAAAATGATTACTTCTTCTTTGGGTCAACAAAGCTTCAATACTGAAGAATAAATGTTATTGCTACAACTTAATATTATGAAGCTGCAGACCAAATATTAAATCTTTCTCTTTCATAGAAGCCAGGAAAACTTTGACGAAAGTTTTTCTTTCAGACGGACCGAGTCGAGTCCTTATTAGACCTGATCCTTCTACTACCCCGCAGGTAAAAATAAATGGGTCAATTTTTTCACATGCTTTTATCTCTCAGCTGCACAGGTATGCATACTGAAAAATTCTGTGAAATATAAACTGTTAACACAGATATATGCCTCGCTTTTTTGTAATTTTGATAGTATAATGCAAATTGAAAATCAAATTAAAATTAAAATGGCATTATTTAAACATGTAAACTATGCGTTACATTCAAAGTCAATGAATCCTGAAGGTGCAGGGCCAAATAACTTCCATTGAAATGAGAAATGCCAAATGATAACAATGCTGAAGTGGTTCCCATTAAACCAACTTCAACACAAACTTATACATGTAAAAGTGAAAAGGTTAATGAACCATGATGAGGGGGCTAGGCAGGCATCTCCATGACCTGTTTTATGATGGCGCACCGCCATTGTTAAAATATCTTCCGCCATTGTCAAATAATCCCCGCCATCGTTAAATTTTTTTCCGCCATCGTCAAATGATCCCCGCCATTGTCAAAATTTTTTTTTTTTTTGCTTTAGATGCTGCCATTTTTATTAGAAATTATAATCAACTGCATGTAATTGCATAACCCTTATTGTATTATAATCCAAAGGGTCCTCCTGATTACAGTTTTAAAGCCCTGGGGGATATCAGGCTTAAGATAGCTAATCACTTGTACAGGTAGATCGACACACCTGACAGGAGAACACTTGATCAAGATAGACGATTGATTCGTTATTTAATTACGTTTCAGCAAATGCTAATGAAAATTTAGATTAAAAAATAAATTTTCAATCCAGTTACGAAGAAAAAAGTCGAACACGTGCTATAACATTGACTTATGCAATCAGCCTCCGCCTTTTTAAAAGAGTACAAAATAAGACTTAAAACAGAACATAATTTCATGCCAAATAACACGAGTATAGCAATTATCGATAATATTGAATCACTTTACAAGTTTAAAAGTAAATACATGAATATTAACTGCAACTTGATAATTTGAAGAAATTTCGTATCGTGATTCCAAATTCATTTCGTAATTTACAATCAAATTAATACATCTGGTTTAGATTCAGAATCGAAAGGTGCGTGTTGCATAGTCTATTACTATGAAATTTGCAATTTAAAGTCATTAAAACTTTTAAGATGTAAACGTTTGCCCTCCAAATCTTTCTTCAATGTTTTACAAAATGGGTACGAACTTCCCCCCCACCCCCGATCTTTTAAGTCCTAAACAATTACCAAATAAATGTGGATAGTGTCCACATGTGGACACAGATGATGCCCCCTCTTGCATATCATATAGTTATAAAGGGACATAACTGAAGAACAGTAAAAGTGACGCTTCCCAAATTTGAACTTGATCTGAGTTTTGTGGTAATAAGCATTGTGTGTAAGTCTCATAACATTTGGTTAAGGCTATTAACTTAAATAGAGAACAGAAACTAAAAATTCAGCAATTTTTCTATTTGTAAACACGCATAACTCTAGAACGATTGTGTATAAGTTTTATAACATTTGGTAAAGACAAAATAAAAAATTCAGCAATTTTTATGTTTATAAAGGGACATAACTCAAGATCTTAATCTGTATTATGTAGTAATAAGCATTGTGTATAAGTTTCATAACATTTGGTTGAGGCAAACTAAAGTTAGAAAATGGAAACAAAAAATCTGTACTTAATGAATATTGTGTATAGGTTTCATAATGTTTGGTTGGGGAAAACTTAAGTTACAGAATGGAAACTAAAAATTTTGCAATCTTTCGATTTATTAAGGGGCATAACTCAATAATGGTTAAAGTGACACTACCCAAATTCAACTTGATCTGTGTTTTATCAGTGGAAGTCAAAATTAAACATTGCATTGTATAAAGTATTGATTGTAGTTGATTCAACTATAATCATGGACAAAGGAAGTTAAC